ACATTTCATATATTAAAAGGAATCATACAATATGGGGTCTTTTGTGATTGGCTTCTTTCACTTGGCGTGATGTTTGCAAGGTTCATCCATGGTATAGCATGTATCAGTACTTCATTCCTTTTTATGGCCAAAAAATATTTCATTGTATGAATATACCACATTTTGTTTATCCATTTACCAGTTGATGGACATTTGGGTTGTTTCCACTTAATTGGCTATTATGAATATTGAGACTGTGAACGTTCATTTACAAGATACCATGGAAATGCAAGTTTTAATTTTTCTTGATAATACACCTAGGAGTGAAATTCCTGGGTCATATGGTAACTCAATGTTTAAGTTTTTGAGGAACTGCCAAACTGTTTTCCAAAGTGGCAGCACAACTTTACATTCCCACCAGGAATGTAATAGAATTCTAATATCTCCACATCCTTCTGTATATTTATCTTTTTTATTTTAGCCATAGTAGTGAGCATTAAGTGGTATCTCATTGTAGTTTTTATTTGCATTTCCCTAATGACTAATGAGTTGAGCATCTTTTTATGTGTTCATTGGCAATTCATATGTCTATTCAGATCCTATGTTCATTTTTTAACAGAATTATCTTTTATTATTGACTTATAAAGCTTCTTTATTCTGGATACAAATCCCTAATTAGATATAAAATTTGTAAATATTTCTCCCATTCTGTAGATTGTCTCTACACTTTCTAGATGGTACCATTTGCAGCATAAAAGCTTTTCATTTTGACAAAATCCAATTTATCTTTTTTTTCTTTTTCTTTTGTCACTTAAGCTTTTGGGGTTGTATTTAAGAAACCATTGCCTAACCCAACAACACAAACATACACTCCTATGTTTTAAGGCTTGTATAGTTTTAGTTCTTACATTTAAGTATATGACCCACTTTTTGCTGCTTTTGTATGGTGTATGCAAGTGATCTAACTTCATTCTCTTCCATATGGATATCCAGCTGTTCTAGCATCATGTGTTGAACTATTCTTTCCTCGTTGAATTGTCTTGGCACCCTTGTTGAAAACCAACTTACCACATACAAGGATTTATTTCTGGACTCTCAATTCTGCTCTATTATCTATATGTCTATCCTTATGCCAGTACAACACTGTCTTTATTACTGAAGATTTACAGCAAGTTTTGAAACTGGGAAATGGAGGTCCTTCAACTTTGTTCTTTTTCAAGATTGTGTTGTTATTGAAGTTCTTTGTATTCACATATGAAGTTTGGTTTCGGCTTTGTAATTTCTGCAAAAACAAAACAAAAACAACTAGATTTTGATAGGGATTGCACTAAATTTCTAGATAATTTGGGGAGTACAGTTTTCATAAGTACATTAAATCTTCTATTCCATGAACATGGGATGTCTTCATTGCTAATATACAGAAATACAATTGACTTCTGCATATTAAATGTTTATCCTGCAACTCAGCTGAACTTGTTAGTTTTAATAGTTCTTAAATGGATTTCCTAGGATTTTCTACATATAAGGTAATTTCACTTGCAAATAAAGATAGTTTTACTTCTTTCTTTCTAGTCTGGATGGCTTACATTTTTCTTTTGTGTGTTTTTTTTTTTTTTTTTTTGGCCCAATTGTCATAGCTAGGCTTTCCAGTAGAATATTAAATGAAAGTGTTAAGAGTGAATATCCTTATTTCCTGATCTTAGGGGGAAGGCACTCAATCTTTTAGAATTAAGGATGATGTTAGCTGTGGGTTTTTTGTAGATGTCCTTTATCAAGTTGAGAAAATGCCTTCCTATTCCAAGTTTGCTAAAGGTTTTCATCATGAAACAGTGTTGGACCTTTTTAAAATGATTTTTCTTTTAAATGTTTTTTGAGATATTTTGTTTTCTTCCTTCTTCTTTTTTTTTTTGATTTGTTTGTTTGTTTTTTGAGACAGGATCTCACTCTGTTGTCTGGGCTACAGTGCAGTGGTGTCATCATAGCTCATTGCAACCTTAAATTCCAGGGATTAAGGGATCCTCCTGCCTTAGCCTTTCAAGTAGCTGGGACTACAGGCACACAACAGAATGCCCAACTAAATTTTCTACTTTTTGTAGAGACAGGTCTCGCTATTCTGCTCAGGCTAGTCCCAAACTCCTTGCCTCAAGCCATCCTCCTGCCTCAGAATCCCAAAGTACTGGGATTAAAGGTGTGAGCCACTGTGCCCAACCAAGAAGTTTCTTTATTCAACTGTTATGGTGTATTATACTGACTGATTTTTTTAATGTTAAACCAACCTTGAATTCCTTGGGTAAATCCCACTTAGTCATGGTATATAATCCTCTTTACAAGTACAAGCTGCACTTGACTTGCTAATATTTTTTTGAAGATTTTCGCACTATATT